GTTTTGTCCCAATAGCGTGTGATTTGCAATAGGAGTACAGCAAAGAAAATGGCCCTACTCCGTGAAAATGCACGCTATATATTTTGGTCTGGCGCGCTCGCTTTTCACGGGCCAAAAAAAATATTTTTATATGATAAACACGAAGAATTGCTTGTTGAAAGGAACTCTTTTATTTTATGTACATTGGTATATCCCTGATGTTATGGTCGTCTGAAATATAGCAAAATTCAGTGTACAAACGGAATAGAAAATATATTGTAGTTTACGCGGGTGGTTACAAACGAAAGAAACTTCAGTTGGAGATGAAATATAGTTGGAAAGCTACTCCAAGGGATGAAAAACAACTTATGAAAAAATTAATCCAAGACAAATTTTCGTTGTCTTGTACGAGCATTGTAAAAATGCACTGAAAGCCTGATAGAAATTATGCAAATTAGGTACGTTTTGGCTGATTTCGAACTTTCGTATTTTTTGCAAAAATAAAAACTTGCTGGAACTTTTAAATATTATTTTTGAAAACAGTTTACCAAAATGGTCTTTTGGAGCAAATAAAAAAAAAGTTGAAGTTTTGCTTCTGTCGCGGTATTCTTGATAATTACTAACAACCTCTCTTAATCCCTGATAGTGACTAGCATCTAATTTCCCCTTTCAATATCACCCCTAAATCAAACATTAAGGTTATGAGAATAAAGGCAATAATAATAAACTAAAGAACCTCTTGATTGTTAAACAAATTCTCCCTCCTAGCACATAAGGAAATGTATTGAGAACAGTATAGAGAATATGCATACTGATGTAAGGGTGTAAAGGGTTAATAGTGCTCCAAAAATAGTAAATAATATTGGAGAGAAAGAAAGAAAGTTCTTAAAACATTCTATATGAATGTTAGTTGCAATAGCAATGAAAACATCTGTGAAGCTACGATAACAATTACCTTTCCATGTAAACAAACCATAATGAAACATGATGTGGATAAATTCAATCTCACCCAGTTTTAATGTAGAATCCGAAATCTAATAGACTTACTAGTGAATAGGAAAAAGCTCAATGTGTTTTTCCTGCTTCTGTCATTCTAAATATCACAAATCAATAATGCCACCACTTCAGTGTGATTTTTTTAGGATATGTACTTTTTCTTATGGTCATCTATTTTTAGTACCTATCTTTTACCAGCTGACATCTGAGAAGAATCAAGTTCACACTGGTGATTTGACACATTGTAAGCAAACCCTACAACTAATTAAATTTATTTGATAAAAAATATTAGGGGCAATAGAGGAAATTGGCCAACACAATTCAAGTTTCCCTTCACAGTATTCTGTTATTATTTCTTCTACCTTGAGGTAAAGTTTACAGTTTCCCTCATTTCACTGTCTTCTGTTCATCTGTTTGATGAAATCTTGAAAAAATCTTGACTATTGTTGCTGACAAGTGCAAGCTGGGAGCATATAAAATGTGTACAGTTATTAACACTTTAATTCCTAAGAGTGACTAGTATCTAATTTCGTCTTTCAATAGAATCCCTAAATCAAGCATTAAGGTCATGAGAATAAAGGAAATGATAATCAACTGA